GGGGGGGGGGGGGAGGAATGTAGCTGAGGTCCTCTCGAAGGCCGAAAATACCCAACGTTCAACATAAAGCTGGTGAAGTTACCAGGTCCGGCATTGTCTCGAGGTCTACATTATGGAGGAGTAACTCACAACAGAAAAAAACAATCGAAACGACGCTTGCGATTTCGCGTAACAACGTTGTTCATGTCCCTTATGCGAAATGTACTTGGTCATGGAAAACCCTACCGAATATGACACAAGATAACACAGCCCATTGACCGACTTCAAAGCTCGACGACGTCACGACGAAGAGGACGAATAAACGAAACGATATATTTGTCGGAAAGCGCTCGACGAGACGGGTTCAACGCCGCCGTATCCGGTGCTGTGACTCGTTATGCTGTTGAGAAATCGAGGTTTGAAATCGGTCCGGGGTGTGTGTTATCTTGTGTCGTATACGGTAAATACTGTGTTCATGTGGATCTATTTAGCGTCTGTCATTGTCGTTGCCCTTGCCCTTGCCCTTGTCGCCGTCGTCACGCCAACGAGAGAACACCACCGTGTGCTCACCACGACGAACAGATATGGCTCCCTCCCGGATTATTGCCAGCATCTTCCACCATCTCTCCCTCCCTCTTCATCACTCTCTCTCTCTCTCCCCCCCGCTCCTCTCGCTATAATAATATTTATATATCTCACCAGGTACTCGGAGTTGGAGAACCTAGAGTCCTTGTACTGGGACTGGGCCTTAGGCTTGCCCTGGGGCACGCTAACCGACTTCCCATCGATGGTGATGACGACATCCTTGGACGGGTCGGGCTCCTGCCACCCGCGCGCCACGATCGAGTCGTACCCCTTTTTCATCGGCACCGATAATTTGTTTTTCGGGAATAAACGGACACAAAACAAGTGCGCAAAAACAAAAAATCAGGTTGATTTCCGCGTAGTAATAAGACAAGCGCTAGGTTCGTAGGAGAGTCCCTCGTCGAGCGGGACCGTAGCGTTCGAAATCGAGAAAAAATCAACACTTCAAACGAAGCGAGCAGAACAAACAGGGCTTCGGTAACTCACGGCCGCACGCGGTAAAACAGCCTTAAGGTTAGGGTTTTGCCGCTCGATACATTCGTCGATTATGTCATTTGTTGACGAAACGTGCTCCGAAAATAGTCGTCAGGTCTTGGTGAGATACACGTGAGCGGCCTCGTGTTACAGGCGGAGAGTGGGGCGGGCAGACCCTTGAGAAACAGTCGTTGCCCGGTTTGCCGGATACGACACACTCGCCAGACACTAGAACACGGCACCATACAAACGCCGTACTCCCCTGGCCCAACGATTGACTGATCTACGGTACCATAAAAGGGTGCATCCTGGGAGCGAGCTATTGTTGTGGCTGGGTAAAGCCATGGCATCTTCACCGCAATCATCACAAAAGAATCGGCCCTCCATTCAAGCTGAGAAATTCATCTTGTGATACATGTTAAAGTAAACAGCTTGCAGGTGTGCTATTTGAGCTACATCTTATAGCTACACAAGAGCCCGACAAGGGCACTCCACAAAAGAAATAAAAGCCAAACAACATGCAACCAACCCTATACCATCAGAGATGCCCACTGCACCTGGGGGGGCTTGGTGAGCTTCCAGTCGTCGACGGTGATGCTAGCCTCGTTGCCCAAGGCCGCTTCGCACAGGAACATGATGCCTAGGTTCACCCCGGGGCCCTTCGCCCCGTACGCTGGGCGCACGTACTGGCGGCTGCGCGAGGGCATGCAACGGGAACAAGAATGGCGAAAGCAGGATGAAAAAGTTAGAACTAAAAAGTGTTAAATCTATCTGCTGCTTTTGATTTTCTGTGTGGTGGTGGTTTAATGTCGGTGCAGTGACTGTTGAGGCATTGCGGTCGTTGGCGGTGTTGTCTTTCTTGCACTCACACACAAACGAAGCCATTCGACGCTTATTGCGCCGCGTTTCTGTGTAATAAGGTCGTGAGCATGCTGTCCTGGACAGGCGCGGGGTGTGCTCCTTTGCTGATGTGCGAAGAAGAATGCGTGGAGCTGCACATGCACTACCGGGTGCCCAACCATATCATCCCTGTCCACAGCAGTGTTTCAATCTTACACGCACACACCATCAGTGTCACAAGTGGAACTATAATAACTCGTCTAATCTCACCTCTTCGCGTTCTCGGAGGCGAGGTAGATGCCCTTACCCACGCGTCCGCCGCTGTGGGGCATGATACGAAGCCCGCTCTTGACGATGGCAGCCACGACAGCCACTGATATCTCAAGTCAAGCGCAGCACGAAAGCAATGCAGCCAAGCACAACCCGAAAGGAATGTATTGGTATCCATGTGGTTGTCATCAAGGGTCGCCAATCAATGTCGTCTGTTGTTTCCCGCTGAGCTTTCCTACAGCCGGTTGTTGCTGCGGGCACGTTTCCCGAAGTTGTTGTTGAGGTCTCGTCCAGGTGGGTGAGGTGTAGCGATCGGCCGAGTTAGAAAAACACGTGTAGTTCAATTAGTGTGAGACAAATTGTTTTCGCGAACAGTGTTCGGTGAGACATGTGGCGCAGCGGCAAGAGCAAGCAGCGAGGACGCCGTAGCGCCATCGCAGGATCGTTGACGGTACGCTAACGGCGATGTGGCGATCCGCTGGTGCTTTCTTCGTTGAGAAAAAAAGAAAACGGTCATTTATACTATTTTGGCACATGAGCAGTCGTATGTACCACATCAGACGTCCGCAAACGAGCTAAACCAACATGATGGAGCGCTGCCTCTCATCGGAGCCCCACTGAAATAGAACCAATCCCCTCACCGTTAGTTCCGTGCCACAGAAGCTTGCGGTTGGTCATCTTATCGTGCGCCTTGAAGCGCTGCCCCTCACCCTCCCTGTCGACGGCCCAGACATTCAACAGGTCCATGTCGCCGTAGCCCGGCTTAGTGTTCTCCAGATAGGTCCTGTTTCAAAGCGGTGGTTTTGTTGTGGGTAATGTTGATTGTGGATGATGGTGGTCTGTCTCACTGTTGCTTGCATTGTCTGCGCTGTTGCTGTTGCTGCTGCTGCTGCTCCTGCTGTTGTTGTTGAACTTGTTGCCGTTGGTATTGTGGTGGTAGTGTCGTCGCTGATGGATGGTATTTTTTCTACGCCGAGGCGTTGTAAAGGGTCGAAAGTGCTGGCGGGGAAAATACAAAACACAAACTGCCTCTCTAGCCTCGCATGATTCTGGCCAGATGTCCTGGTCTAAACTTTTCCACCTGTCGTGCGTTGCTACATACCAATCAAAAGCCACCTTGCGTCCCAGCACCAAACAAAAACCCTTCCGCTACAACAAAGCCAAACTTCTCAGCACAACAAAACAAATCTCCAGATTGTTGCTGTTCTTTGCGCTCCATCGCCACCACCTCCGACTCACTTGATGACCTTGTGCTCGCTAGAGCCGGGCGAGACCAGCTTGAGGTCGGCGTTGAGGGCGGCGTAGTTCACATCCGTGGGGTGCGGTACAGTCGGTACCTTTTCGGCGCCCTTGCCCTTGCCCTGCTTTGTACCGCTCGTGGACGACAGCAGGGTCTGTGCCTCGTCGATGTCCTGAAGGACGTTGAGCATCTCGACCTAGGGGTGGGGAATCGATTGCGAGTATCCCCACGGCACGAAACCCCAAAGGGGAACATAAATTCAGGCCTAAGCGGTCGCAGTTTTGGAACAGGTGGTTGGCGGCTACGAGCGAAAACATCTCAACCTCCTGAAACCCACCAGCCCGTTTTTCCGACACTATTTAGCCTACCCAACGATCGCCTTGGATTTCAGAACCACCGACTCCTCAGCCTTTTGACTAGTTCTCCTCACATCACCAACATTCTCTCTTTAGTGTTGTCGGTCAAAGCCGTTTTTTCGCAATGATAGATATATCTGTCTCTGTCTCTCACCTTGTCGCGGAGCATGGTGTCCGTGTTGATCACCGGCGGCCTAGAGCGCCCGAAGGCGTGGGGAATCACCTGGCATTTCGTTTTTTTTGTTTTTTTTTATGTGTGTGTAACGTGCGGCATGCGGCTGAGGACAGAGAATTGGACTGAAAACGAAATCGGTAACCCGACGCAGAACAGAACATGTAACGATGTCCATATCGAGCACAGAAACGGTGTACCAAGCGTCGCTCACTCAAATGACCCACTCTAGCAAAATATATTACAAATTTTGAAACATCGGTACAAGAACACCTGTACCATGACTCTGACGAGCTCGTAGGATTGATTCTCTCGACTACGACAAGATGACGCGCCTCGTTGTTCCCGTATCTTGCTTACTTTTTTCGCGTTTTGATCGGCCGCGAGCTAGCTGCTGGCTTACCTGGTAAAACTTTGCTGAAAGCGCTTCGAGCAAGGCCGCCTTGTTCCTGCCGGTGGTCTTGAGCGCGTCCTCCAGTTCCTCAAGGACATGGTAGCCGCGCTGGACCTGTCGTCGTTGTCGTCGTTGTTGTCGTTGTTGTTAATATTGTTTTTGCTGATGATGCCCGTGGCAAAGGTTGTTCTCCTTGTGCCAGAACCGGCGGGCTTGACCGATCAACTTTCCTTAGCCCTCGTATCCCGACACACCGCAACCTAGGTGTGTGGCCACGACGACACCTAGCCCCCGTCTCCTACAACACGCGTACGGAAGTCGCCGCCTACCCACCTGGGCACTGGAGAGCTGTCCCAAGGGCATCTTCTTGACGTCGATGTTCATCTTCGACATCGCAGACTTGAACATGTCTTCGCTGCAGCAAGAAGGAGGAGAACAACGGACCGACAGCAGAAAAAAGTCAAGAGTGTATCAAGAAACTGTCAACAGAGAGGCGTTGAATAGTAAGAAAGGGCAAGAAGAATATCATCATTGCCAAGCGTTGTCGTCGTCACTGTTGTCGCTGTTGTCGTTGCCGTGGTGGCCGATGTTGTCGTCGTTTCTTTGTGGCTACGGTACCACTGCCGGTGTTCTTCTATCGTGTCTGGATCTCAATGTAAGTCCCGTCTCCGCGGTCAACAAAACAAGCCAGCGCCTTCCGCAAGCGCTGTGCTACTTGCTGCCACATACATAGCTCACCTAAAGATAAGCTCCACGAGCTCCTTGGTTGCGGGGTCGAGCGTCGACGGCAGCACCTTCGCGGGGCGGGCGGGGGAGGACGGGCAGCCGCCGGCGGCAACCACAGCGGCGGCGGCTGTGGTGTCCGAGTTGTCCGTCTCGATGAGCTCGTACTTCCCGGGCACTGCCGTGAACTTGCCGTTCTGGGCGTCCTGCGGGGAGCCGGTGCGAAGTTGGGGGGCACGCGAAGCGCAAGGGAAAAAGGGGTCGTTGAGGTGAGAATGGGGCTGCCTGGCGGACGTGTGTTCGGTGCATATTTGTAGACGACACACGGGAAAAAAACATCACCAAAAAGAGGTCTCCGTGTGCCCTATCTGTACCAGCCCCCAAAAACCAATACCGGTGCACCAACAACCCCATGGACAACAACGATCACGATCACGATCACGATCACGATCACGATCACGATCACGATCACCAATAGCAGCAGCAGCAACAGCAACAACAACAACAACAACAACAACAACAACAACAACAACAACAACAACAACAACAACAACGACGACGACGACGACGACGACGACGACGACGACGATAACGACGCACCCCCCACTTGTTGCCCGACTTGTTCTTGAACTTATGGGCGAAGACCTTGGAAGCCTCACTCTCGTCGCTGAAAGGACCCAGCTCAGCCATCGCTCCGAGCTCCCCCACACGGCCCCAGCGGCACCAGACGAAGTAGTTGTTGCGCCCGGCGTCGCGGCACATCTTGAAAAACAGGAGGCGAAAAACAACAAACACCAGCGGGTAAAATTTTCTCACATTCTCGATTTATTTTCTTGAAAAGTAGAGGACCAACACGAAAACAGCAGCGGATACCATTCCGCAACAGTCTCGATTTGTTTGTCTACATCTTAAAACACAGAAGGCGAAGAGCAACAAACAGCAGCATATGGCATTCCTCCCTCAAAGCCTTGATTGTTGTTGTCTACATCTTGAACGACAGAAGAATAAAACCACAAACAGCCGCGGACAACATTCGTCGGCAACCTCGATTGTGCTGTCTACATCTTGAAAACCGCAAGCACAAAAACAACAAACAGCAGCGACACTTCCTACCTCAAGAGCCTCCATTTTCCCTTTTCTTTATTGCAGTCTACTGGGCAGTGCCGGGTGCTCGAGACAAGTGCGGTCACGACCTTACGCACCAGCAAGCCATACCCCGAGGAGAGAGGGCGAGTGGTAAATCGTGGACGCCACAACACGCGTACGTCACCAGGTACACGAAACGAAAGGGGGCGTGAAAACCTCCGTTTGCGGCGACCCCCACCCCCCCCATTTTTCACCTGGAGGATGTAGAACTTGTTTTTGTTGCTGGCGATGTCGGTCTGGTTAAGCTTAGCGTCGTGCCCGGCGTGCACGGACACGCCCGTGTTGCCGGCCTTCGGGCAGCACTTGTCGACCTCGGCGTTGGAGGCGGCGGGGGCGGGCGAGGGAGGGGCCGTAACGGAGACCGCGGCCTTGCCCTTGCCCTTACCCTTACCCTTCGGACCGAAGCCAGCATAAGATGACAAGCAGGCAGTCGTGCATGAGGGTAAGTGTAAGGGACTGCTCGCTGGAACAAAAAAACGAAATGGTGGCTGGCTTCTCCTTGAGTGGTCGTCGTTGTGTGCGTGGGGGGGGGGAGGGG